CGCAGCTGTAAACCAAGCGCTATGAATTGCCGTACCCTTTGCAATATCCCAAAGCAAACGCTTGCCTTCCACTTCATTTCCACCAAACATGCATTGAGAGTATCGATAGACGTCAACACGTCATCGACATCGGTCGCCAGGTTGAAGCTGGTGTTGAACACTACGACAAGGTTGAACACTACGACAAGGTCATCAGCTCTGACCACAGCGTCGATATGGATGTGGACACAGTACAACACGACTCCCGATGCAAATCAAGAAACAAACACTGACACCGACCTCCATCGTACTGTTTGTGGCCAACTCGTAGCATGCACCACGAATCGATGAGTATCGGAACCAGCCAGAAATCAGCTACCACATTCGCAAAGAAACGGAAAAACACAAACGTGACGCGAAATTGCTTTTCACGCTCGCGGCTGGAAACATGATCGAAACACGCGGGCTTTCCGACCATCAGCTTGATCAACTCAATCAACTGAAGCAGTCACCATGATGGTTCGTGACTATTTACCCGTCACAACACCAGCCCACTCGCGAGCTCGTCTACCGATCCCACTCACTCACTATCCAATTGACACTGCCAGTGCACCACGCAGCGAGGAAGTTATCGACTCGACCGACCGACCGACTGACCGACCAAGCGACAGACGAACTCGACCATGAAGATCACCGCTCTCGCCATCACTGCGCTAGCCACCGTAGCAAGCGTCGCATCCGCTGACGACTACCAGCCGGCGCTCCGAGCACTTGCCGCACAGGAGCCAACTGCACCCATTGCCGACACACTAGCTTCCAACCCGACCAAGCAACAATCCTCTTCTCCTGTGGAGGCTGCTGCTGCAGCTACCAACACGGAGCATAATGTCGACGATGACAGCAAGAAGGCCAAGGAGTGGTGGGGACGACCGGGATGGGGACATCGCTGGGGAGGCTATGGATGGGGGCGTCCCTGGGGTGGGTACGGTGGTGGCTGGGGTGGATACGGTGGCGGCTGGGGATGGTAGACGTCACACATCAAAGACACCATCGACACGCTTGCAACCTGCCGCACTCTCACACGGACGGAACAGAACAAGGCGACTGCAATGTAGCCAATCAAATGGAAATCGGCATGCTCATTCAGCCTCGCTTTGTTCTCTAACGCTCTGAGTTCGTCCAATGTTGTTCTGGTCGCCACATTGGTTCAACATATCGCGTCAATGAAACACATGCTCGACTACCTTATTGTGTTGAGTGCAACGGCTCGGTGCAAGCTTGGCGCTGCATACTTCCGAGATGTTGCAGCACGTCGTAGTCAGCCTTCCCCCATCATTACGATAAGATACACACGTTCAGATCAACTCGCCTCGATCAATTGGCCTCGATCAAATCTTCTGATTCACACGTTCCGACCCGCTTGTTCGTATTGACACGTTCGCTCTTACTGATATTGACTTGCTCCTACTGATATTGACTTGCTCCATTCGATCTCTCCATTTCTGCTCAGTGATTACCATACTTTCTCGTAGTTGTAAACCAAGCGCTATGAATTGCCGTACCCTTTGCAATATCCCAAAGCAAACGCTTGCATTCCACTTCATTTCCACCAAACATGCATTGAGAGTATCGATAGACGTCAACACGTCATCGATATCGGTCGCCAGGTTGAAGCTGGTGTTGAACACTACGACAAGGTTGAACACTACGACAAGGTCGTCAGCTCTGGCCACAGCGTCGATACGGATGTGGACACAGTACAACACGACTCCCGATGCAAATCAAGAAACAAGCACTAACACCGACCTCCATCGTACTGTTCGTGGCCAACTCGTAGCATGCACCACGAATCGATGAGCATCGGAACCAGCCAGGAATCAGCTACCACATTCGCAAAGAAACGGACAAACACAAACGTGACACGAAATTGCCTTTCACGCTCGTGGCTGGAAACATGATCGAAACACGCGGGCTTTCCGACCATCAGCTTGATCGGCTAAATCAACTGAAGCAGTCACCATGACGGTTCGTGACCATTTACCCGTCACAACACCAGCCCACTCGTGAGCTCGTCTACCGATCCCACTCACTCACTATCCGATTGACACTGCCAGTGCACCACGCAGCGAGGAAGTTATTGACTCGACCGACCGACCGACTGACGACTGACCAAGCGACCGACGAACTCGACCATGAAGATCACCGCTCTCGCCATCACTGCGCTAGCCACCGTAGCAAGCGTCGCATCCGCTGACGACTACCAGCCGGTGCTCCGAGCACTTGCCGCACAGGAGCCAACTGCACCCATTGCCGACACACTTGCTTCCGACCCGACCAAGCAACAATCCTCTTCTCCTGTGGAGGCTGCTGCTGCAGCTACCAACACGGAGCATAATGTCGACGATGACAGCAAGAAGGCCAAGGAGTGGTGGGGACGACCGGGATGGGGACATCGCTGGGGAGGCTATGGATGGGGGCGTCCCTGGGGGTGGGTACGGTGGTGGCTGGGGTGGATACGGTGGCGGCTGGGGATGGTAGACGTCACACATCAACGACACCATCGACACGCTTGCAACCTGCCGCACTCTCACACGGACGGAACAGAACAAGGCGACTGCAATGTAGCCAATCAAATGGAAATCGGCATGCTCATTCAGCCTCGCTTTGTTCTCTAACGCTCTGAGTTCGTCCAATGTTGTTCTGGTCGCCACATTGGTTCAACATATCGCGTCAATGAAACACATGCTCGACTACCTTTTGTGTTGAGTGCAACGGCTCGGTGCAAGCTTGGCGCTGCATACTTCCGAGATGTTGCAGCACGTCGTAGTCAGCCTCCCCCTCATTACGATAAGATACACACGTTTAGATCAACTCGCCTCGATCAATTGGCCTCGATCAAATCTTCTGATTCACACGTTCCGACCCGCTTGTTCGTATTGACACGTTCGCTCTTACTGATATTGACTTGCTCCTACTGATATTGACTTGCTCCATTCGATCTCTCCATTTCTGCTCAGTGATTACCATACTTTCTCGTAGCTGTAAACCAAGCGCTATGAATTGCCGTACCCTTTGCAATATCCCAAAGCGAACGCTTGCATTCCACTTCATTTCCACCAAACATGCATTGAGAGTATCGATAGACGTCAACACGTCATCGATATCGGTCGCCAGATTGAAGCTGGTGTTGAACACTACGACAAGGTTGAACACTACGACAAGGTCGTCAGCTCTGGCCACAGCGTCGATACGGATGTGGACACAGTACAACACGACTCCCGACGCAAATCAAGAAACAAGCACTGACACCGACCTCCATCGTACTGTTCGTGGTCACCTCGTAGCATGCACCACGAATCGATGAGTATCGGAACCAGCCAGGAATCAGCTACCACATTCGCTAAGAAACGGAAAAACACAAACGTGACTCAAAGGTGCCTTTCACGCTCGTGGCTGGAAACATGATCGAAACACGCGGGCCTTCCGACCATCAGCTTGATCAACTCAATCAACTGAAGCAGTCACCATGACGGTTCGTGACCATTTACCCGTCACAACACCAGCCCACTCGCGAGCTCGTCTACCGATCCCACTCACTCACTATCCAATTGACACTGCCAGTGCACCACGCAGCGAGGAAGTTATCGACTCGACCGACCGACCGACCAAGCGACAGACGAACTCGACCATGAAGATCACCGCTCTCGCCATCACTGCGCTAGCCACCGTAGCAAGCGTCGCATCCGCTGACGACTACCAGCCGGTGCTCCGAGCACTTGCCGCACAGGAGCCAACTGCACCCATTGCCGACACGCTTGCTTCCGACCCGACCAAGCAACAATCCTCTTCTCCTGTGGAGGCTGCTGCTGCAGCTGCCAACACGGAGCATGATGTCGACGATGACAGCAAGAAGGCCAAGGAGTGGTGGGGACGACCGGGATGGGGACATCGCTGGGGAGGCTATGGATGGGGGCGTCCCTGGGGTGGGTACGGTGGTGGCTGGGGTGGATACGGTGGCGGCTGGGGATGGTAGACGTCACACATCAACGACACCATCGACACGCTTGCAACCTGCCGCACTCTCACACGGACGGAACAGAACAAGGCGACTGCAATGTAGCCAATCAAATGGAAATCGGCATGCTCATTCAGCCTCGCTTTGTTCTCTAACGCTCTGAGTTCGTCCAATGTTGTTCTGGTCGCCACATTGGTTCAACATATCGCGTCAATGAAACACATGCTCGACTACCTTTTGTGTTGAGTGCAACGGCTCGGTGCAAGCTTGGCGCTGCAAGCTTCCGAGATGTTGCAGCACGTCGCAGACAGCCTCCCCCTCATTACGATACGATACACACGTTCAGATCAACTCGCCTCGATCAATTTGCCTCGATCAAATCTTCTGATTCACACGTTCCGACCCGTTTGTTCGTATTGACACGTTCGCTCTTACTGATATTGACTTGCTCCTACTGATATCGACTTGCTTCATTCGATCGCTCCATTCCTGCTCAGTGATTGCCATACTTTCTCGTAGCTGTAAACCAAGCGCTATGAATTGCCGTACCCTTTGAAATATCCCAAAGCAGACGCTTGCATTCCACTTCATTTCCAGCAAACATGCATTGAGAGTATCGATAGACGTCAACACGTCATCGATATCGGTCGCCAGGTTGAAGCTGGTGTTGAACACTACGACAAGGTTGAACACTACGACAAGGTCGTCAGCTCTGGCCACAGCGTCGATACGGATGTGGACACAGTACAACACGACTCCCGACGCAAATCAAGAAACAAGCACTGACACCGACCTCCATCGTACTGTTCGTGGTCACCTCTTCGCATGCACCACGAATCGATGAGTATCGGAACCAGCCAGAAATCAGCTACCACATTCGCTAAGAAACGGAAAAACACAAACGTGACTCGAAATTGCCTTTCACGCTCGTGGCTGGAAACATGATCGAAACACGCGGGCTTTCCGACCATCAGCTTGATCAGCTCAATCAACTGAAGCAGTCACCATGACGGTTCGTGACCATTTACCCGTCACAACACCAGCCCACTCGCGAGCTCGTCTACCGATCCCACTCACTCACTATCCAATCGGCACTGCCAGTGCACCACGCAGCGAGGAAGTTATCGACTCGACCGACCGACCGACCGACCGACCGATCAAGCGACAGACGAACTCGACCATGAAGATCACCGCTCTCGCCATCACTGCGCTAGCCACCGTAGCAAGCGTCGCATCCGCTGACGACTACCAGCCGGCTCTCCGAGCACTTGCCGCACAGGAGCCAACTGCACCCATTGCCGACACACTTGCTTCCGACCCGACCAAGCAACAATCCCCTTCTCCTGTGGAGGCTGCTGCTGCAGCTGCCAACACGGAGCATGATGTCGACGATGACAGCAAGAAGGCCAAGGAGTGGTGGGGACGACCGGGATGGGGACATCGCTGGGGAGGCTATGGATGGGGGCGTCCCTGGGGTGGCTACGGTGGTGGCTGGGGGTGGATACGGTGGCGGCTGGGGACGGTAGACGTCACACATCAACGACACCATCGACACGCTTGCAACCTGCCGCACTCTCACACGGACGGAACAGAACAAGGCGACTGCAATGTAGCCAATCAAATGGAAATCGGCATGCTCATTCAGCCTCGCTTTGTTCTCTAACGCTCTGAGTTCGTCCAATGTTGTTCTGGTCGCCACATTGGTTCAACATATCGCGTCAATGAAACACATGCTCGACTACCTTTTGTGTTGAGTGCAACGGCTCGGTGCAAGCTTGGCGCTGCATACTTCCGAGATGTTGCAGCACGTCGTAGTCAGCCTCCCCCTCACTACGATAAGAGACGCACGTTCAGATCAACTCGCCTCGATCAATTTGCCTCGATCAAATCTTCTGATTCACACATTCCGACCCGCTTGTTCGTATTGACACGTTCGCTCTTACTGATATTGACTTGCTCCTACTGACATTGACTTGCTCCGTTCGATCGCTCCATTCCTGCTCAGTGATTGCCATACTTTCTCGTAGCTGTAAACCAAGCGCTATGAATTGCCGTACCCTTTGAAATATCCCAAAGCAGACGCTTGCATTCCACTTCATTTCCAGCAAACATGCATTGAGAGTATCGATAGACGTCAACACGTCATCGATATCGGTCGCCAGGTTGAAGCTGGTGTTGAACACTACGACAAGGTTGAACACTACGACAAGGTCGTCAGCTCTGGCCACAGCGTCGATACGGATGTGGACACAGTACAACACGACTCCCGACGCAAATCAAGAAACAAGCACTGACACCGACCTCCATCGTACTGTTCGTGGTCACCTCTCCGCATGCACCACGAATCGATGAGTATCGGAACCAGCCAGAAATCAGCTACCACATTCGCTAAGAAACGGAAAAACACAAACGTGACTCAAAGATGCCTTTCACGCTCGCGGCTGGAAACATGATCGAAACACGCGGGCTTTCCGACCATCAGCTTGATCAGCTCAATCAACTGAAGCAGTCACCATGACGGTTCGTGACCATTTACCCGTCACAACACCAGCCCACTCGCGAGCTCGTCTACCGATCCCACTCACTCACTATCCAATCGGCACTGCCAGTGCACCACGCAGCGAGGAAGTTATCGACTCGACCGACCGACCGACCGACCGATCAAGCGACAGACAAACTCGACCATGAAGATCACCGCTCTCGCCATCACTGCGCTAGCCACCGTAGCAAGCGTCGCATCCGCTGACGACTACCAGCCGGCTCTCCGAGCACTTGCCGCACAGGAGCCAACTGCACCCATTGCCGACACACTTGCTTCCGACCCGACCAAGCAACAATCCCCTTCTCCTGTGGAGGCTGCTGCTGCAGCTGCCAACACGGAGCATGATGTCGACGATGACAGCAAGAAGGCCAAGGAGTGGTGGGGACGACCGGGATGGGGACATCGCTGGGGAGGCTATGGATGGGGGCGTCCCTGGGGTGGCTACGGTGGTGGCTGGGGTGGATACGGTGGCGGCTGGGGACGGTAGACGTCACACATCAACGACACCATCGACACGCTTGCAACCTGCCGCACTCTCACACGGACGGAACAGAACAAGGCGACTGCAATGTAGCCAATCAAATGGAAATCGGCATGCTCATTCAGCCTCGCTTTGTTCTCTAACGCTCTGAGTTCGTCCAATGTTGTTCTGGTCGCCACATTGGTTCAACATATCGCGTCAATGAAACACATGCTCGACTACCTTTTGTGTTGAGTGCAACGGCTCGGTGCAAGCTTGGCGCTGCATACTTCCGAGATGTTGCAGCACGTCGTAGTCAGCCTCCCCCTCATTACGATAAGATACACACGTTTAGATCAACTCGCCTCGATCAATTTGCCTCGATCAAATCTTCTGATTCACACGTTCCGACCCGTTTGTTCGTATTGACACGTTCGCTCTTACTGATATTGACTTGCTCCTACTGATATCGACTTGCTCCGTTCGATCGCTCCATTCCTGCTCAGTGATTGCCATACTTTCTCGTAGCTGTAAACCAAGCGCTATGAATTGCCGTACCCTTTGAAATATCCCAAAGCAGACGCTTGCATTCCACTTCATTTCCAGCAAACATGCATTGAGAGTATCGATAGACGTCAACACGTCATCGATATCGGTCGCCAGGTTGAAGCTGGTGTTGAACACTACGACAAGGTTGAACACTACGACAAGGTCGTCAGCTCTGGCCACAGCGTCGATACGGATGTGGACACAGTACAACACGACTCCCGACGCAAATCAAGAAACAAGCACTGACACCGACCTCCATCGTACTGTTCGTGGTCACCTCTTCGCATGCACCACGAATCGATGAGTATCGGAACCAGCCAGAAATCAGCTACCACATTCGCTAAGAAACGGAAAAACACAAACGTGACTCAAAGATGCCTTTCACGCTCGTGGCTGGAAACACGATCGAAACACGCGGGCCTTCCAACTATCAGCTTGATCAACTCAATCAACTGAAGCAGTCACCATGACGGTTCGTGACCATTTACCCGTCACAACACCAGCCCACTCGCGAGCTCGTCTACCGATCCCACTCACTCACTATCCAATCGGCACTGCCAGTGCACCACGCAGCGAGGAAGTTATCGACTCGACCGACCGACCGACCGACCGACCGACCGATCAAGCGACAGACAAACTCGACCATGAAGATCACCGCTCTCGCCATCACTGCGCTAGCCACCGTAGCAAGCGTCGCATCCGCTGACGACTACCAGCCGGCTCTCCGAGCACTTGCCGCACAGGAGCCAACTGCACCCATTGCCGACACACTTGCTTCCGACCCGACCAAGCAACAATCCTCTTCTCCTGTGGAGGCTGCTGCTGCAGCTGCCAACACGGAGCATGATGTCGACGATGACAGCAAGAAGGCCAAGGAGTGGTGGGGACGACCGGGATGGGGACATCGCTGGGGAGGCTATGGATGGGGGCGTCCCTGGGGTGGGTACGGTGGTGGCTGGGGTGGATACGGTGGCGGCTGGGGATGGTAGACGTCACACATCAACGACACCATCGACACGCTTGCAACCTGCCGCACTCTCACACGGACGGAACAGAACAAGGCGACTGCAATGTAGCCAATCAAATGGAAATCGGCATGCTCATTCAGCCTCGCTTTGTTCTCTAACGCTCTGAGTTCGTCCAATGTTGTTCTGGTCGCCACATTGGTTCAACATATCGCGTCAATGAAACACACGCTCGACTACCTTTTGTGTTGAGTGCAACGGCTCGGTGCAAGCTTGGCGCTGCATACTTCCGAGATGTTGCAGCACGTCGTAGTCAGCCTCCCCCTCATTACGATACGATACACACGTTTAGATCAACTCGCCTCGATCAATTTGCCTCGATCAAATCTTCTGATTCACACGTTCCGACCCGTTTGTTCGTATTGACACGTTCGCTCTTACTGATATTGACTTGCTCCTACTGATATTGACTTGCTCCGTTCGATCGCTCCATTCCTGCTCAGTGATTGCCATACTTTCTCGTAGCTGTAAACCAAGCGCTATGAATTGCCGTACCCTTTGAAATATCCTGTAACGGGGCACCCTGAAGCTTGTACTGGTGACAGTACAAGCTACTTATTCTGATAACAGAATAAGGCGGTGCCTCGTAACTTCACGTACACTCGTACGTGCAGAGGAAGACGGTAAGAAGAAGCGAGTACTTGGTTAGAGTAAAAAGTAGAACTGTATTTATAATAGTTAATGTCTGCAATAAATCACTATTTATCTTCATCTAACTATGTCTAAATACAAATGTGTAAATCAGTTATCTGCTCACCACTCATTGCGTGCGTCTGTCGTGGCGCGTCTTCGTTGGTTGATATAATGGCCTATATCAACCAATTAGGAACTACTTGGAAGTGCTACAGAATATTATCCTTATGACAATATTCTGAGAATATAACTCTTATAGTTATATTCTATTAACAATTTCTTATAAATTGTTATGTAACGATTCACCCCGTTACATCACCCCCCCTTAACCATCAGTCACTTTAGTGACTGATTGACGAAATGGATACTCGTCCCAAATCATTTGGGACGGGGTTTGCACTTGTTGGTCCGCGTCCACTTTCCAACATCTCATCGCATGGTAAACAAGCCCATGCGATGCGCGAGCAAGGCCGCCGAGAGCGCGTCTGCACGTCTCTGTGCGGACGCCGAAGCAGAAACTACAGCAACTGATATCCCATCGGTTGCTGAATCGACTCAGCCTGTATCACCTGGTGATGCAGGCGCTGGTCATGAAGACACTCGTGTCTTCACAGAGTACGAGCTCGGTGTCTCGTACTCTCCTGATACGGATGACGGATCCGTATCGACGGCAATTGAATCCAAGCCGCCTGCCAAGCGTGGCATGGACGATGCTTTGCGTCGCAGCATCTTTGGTTCATCTGATGAGTCAGATGAACCATCGCCGAAGCGAAGGCGCTCGAGGTCGCGAGACTCGGGCGCTAATAGTGGTGTCGTTTCTCCAATGGACACCACTTCACAGCGAGGTGCCAGTACTTCTGTCGGCACGTCGCAGGAAGAGCGGGACCGCAATGTGTTGCGTCTCGCTCCAGAAAAAGAAGGCATGGATGCCTCCTAAATCTGTCATGGATCACTTGTCGGCGACGACGAGTGATCGTTATCGAACACGATTGTTCGATTCGTCAAGGATTCATCACCTTGACCCCAGCGCGAAAGACTATCGCGCTGAACATGAGTTCTTCATCGATGCTTTCTTCAGACATCGATGGTACAGTGGGAATCACAAACGTGATGGTCCCTCACTACTTCAGGCGTGGAACGCCTACATCCATAATCTCGAGGATGTAGGTCGTGACGCTTGGAACGACAAACTTATCAAAGCTCGTGATAAGTTTGAAAAGCGAACCCCGACAGGTGCACGCTACAAGCTGCATCGTCTGTCAAGGGAGAAAGGATTACCCTGCCTCTCTTGGGGAGACTCGTGCCCATGTTGTGTGAACAACTCTGCACGAGCACCTAAGGAGGCTTACCTCCTTACCAGCCCGTGGTGGCGCGTACGTGTCTCTACTGAGATGTACGAAGGGATTGACAACCTGAAATCCCTTTACGACCGTGCCGGGAAGACTTTCTCCGGCGGTCCTTCTGCGGCACAGGATGTGTCGCGTCGTACTGCTCGACCAGACCCAGTACGTCAACCATCAATTGGGAGCGGGGCTCCCAAGAATCCCAGGACGGGGGATAGCCGCGCCACCGGACGAGGTAACTCGTCCGACGTCCGTTCACGTCGCGGTGGTTCAACAGCTGCTCAACTAGATAGCGCTGGCCACCGCGAGAGTCCTCTAATGGAGGTGGAGGAGGAGGAAAGACGCTCTCCACACGATCATGTGGATCGGTGTGTTCCCGAGAGCTTCTTTGATCGCGTAACGCAAGGGTTACGCGACGATCTCGAGCATGAGCGGAATAGGCGTCTCCAGATGGTGGACACTGCCTCGAAGCATCGAGCTGAGTTTGCCTTTGCTCAGCTTGAGAACGAGAGATCTCTGACATCTCTTCGTGACGAGCTAAGGGTAGCTCGTGGGATTGTTGATCGGTCTCGGGCTGAGATAACTGCTCTTCAGACCCTTGTTGATGCCCACCATCGGGAGCACAAGGCTCTCTGCGAGATGCTTGAGCGCAAGGGCGTTCTTCATCGGAAGAAGCAGCGTACTGATGGTACGGCTTAAGCCGACCAACGTAAAACGTGGGATGCGTTCGCATCTTACGTGGTAACTCGATCGTGTATGCATTGCCTAGGCGGTGCAATACACGAAATGGGCCAATGTACTTGGGTAGTAGTTTACTGCTACCCAAGTTAGTCACTACATGCTTTGGTAGATTAACCGTAGACAGTAGGACTAAGTCACCTTTATTAAATAAAAGAGTGTTTGCCCTTCCATTCTTGTCAGCGTTTTGCTTTTGCTTATCCACCGCTTCGGCGATGGAGTCTTGCACAAAACGGACTACCGTTTCACGAGCCAGTATGAACTCATCTGATGACTCGTTAGCTTCAGTGTGCTGTGAGCGCACTGCAGCGACAACAACCTTTTCTTCAGTGAGGGCTTCCGCACTCTCACTGGGATCATTGTCTTCAGTGAGGGCTTCCGCACTCTCACTGGCATCATCTTCTTCGATATCGATGTTATCGATATCGGCATCAAACGCAATGACTTCTTCGTCCGAGCGTGATGAGCGTGAACCAAATCGGTTTTTGCTCGCGCGAGTCCCTCCCCCCCTTAAACCAGAGTTACACTCTAGTAAGGTGGGTACACGCGGATGGCGCAAGCCATTCACGTAAAACGGTGTATGTGTCGTGGACGCATGCACCGAGTTGTTGATGGCAAACTCTACCATCGGCAAAAACTCACTCCAACTCTTAAAGGAGTGTACGTATCCTCGAAGTATCTCTTCAAGGACACGATTGGCACGTTCCGTCTGACCATCTGACTCTGGATGATCAGATGTTGACATCTTCAAGCGCGTTCCGAGTAATTTGAACACGGAACGCCAGAAATCAGCAGTGAATCGTGGATCTCTGTCTGATACGAGTTCACGGGGCAACCCATGAAGTCGGAAGATGGTGTCAATAAAGACACAAGCACAGCCACTTGCCGTGATTGTCTCTGGTACAGCCACAAGGTGTACCATTTTGCTGAATCTGTCAACAAATACGAGAATACCCGTATTCCCGCGTGCGTCTTTGGGTAACCCGAAGACGAAATCTATTGAGATGGATTCCCAGCACTCAGCCGGAACCGGTAGAGGCTGTAAAGGTGCACGCAGTGAAGGACTTGACTTCACTCGTTGGCAGACTTCGCATGCGCGAACATACTTTCGCACAAACTGATACTGGCGGGGCCAGTAAAAGTCTCGACTTACCGTGAGATATGTTTTCTCTCGGCCACGATGTCCTCCTATAGGAGCATCGTGATACTCGAACATGATCCGCAAACGCAGATCAATATCATCTGGAATGACAACACGTGGTGTGTCACCAGAAACGGCTGTATAGTACAGTAAACCGTTACAAGTAGTGTATCGATCTGATGCAGATCGATACGCAGACGACAATCGTTTCAACGATTCTCGAGATGGTTGGGAGAGATGTGACAACAACTTCACTATCTCACCATCTTGGGCGTATGCCCGCCTCACATCATCATACAACGTTGTAGATGGAACTGAGGACGTCATAACCGCAACAGTGACTGTCTCACTGTTGGGTTTCGCGACTGTTTCAAAGTCGGGACGACGTGAGAGTGCATCAGCGACGACATTAAGTCGTCCTGGTTTGTACTCGACCGTAAAGTTGTATTCTGCAAAGAATGACAACCACCGCGCCATTCGTTGTGAAAGGTGCGGGCTGTTCACTGCCGTGCGTAAGGACGCATGGTCAGTGTAAACAACGAAGGGTCTATCTCCTAATAGATAGACTCTGAACTTCGCGAGTGCATACTTCATGGCAAGGAGTTCCTTGTCATGCACTGGATAGTTCCGCTCAGCTGGTTGCAGCTGACGCGACTGATAGCAGACGACGCGTTCAACGCCTTCAAGGTCGTACTGCATTAATGCACAGCCGATTGCGAAATCGCTGGCATCACAGACCACATGAAATGGCCTGTCCTGATCGGCTATTGCTAGGACTGGGGATTGTATCAAGCTCTGCTTGATACCCTCAAAGGAGCGTTGACATTCAGCGTTCCATAACCACCTCTCGTTCTTTTTCAACAAACGAGAGAGGTGTACAGTCATCTCGGCGTAATTGCGTGAATACTTATGCAAATACGCCGCTAGCCCAAGGAATTTTCGAAGACCTTTGACATCGACCGGCACGGGCCAGTCGGTGATCGCCTTGATCTTTTCGGGATCAGGACGTACACCGTTCTTACCAACGATGCACCCAAGAAGTGGTATTTCGCTTGCTGCAAATATACACTTCTTGAGGTTTGCATACAATTGATGCTTTCGCATGACTGTAAGAACTTGTCGGACGTGGTACTTGTGAACCTCAACGTCCGACTTTCCATCCATAGCTCGACTATGGATGAATACGTCATCGAAATAACTCGGCGCGAATTCTCGTACTGGCCTCAACAGATGTGATACACACCTGTTGAACGTGGCAGGGGCATTACTGAGCCCTTGTGGCATTACTAGCCATTCCCAGAGCATGCCGCTAGGCGTGCTAACTGCGGTATAGGGTATATCCCGTTCCCGCATTAGGATTTGATAGAAGCCATCCATCAAATCCATGGACGAAAAGATGGTACTCTTTGACATACCATCAATGATTACGTCCTTCCTCGGTATCGGCGTCTGAGCCGGTACCGTTGCAGCGTTCAATTTGTTAAACGCGTGCACTATCCGCCACCCTCCTGTTGCTTTTCGCACACAGAAGGTCGGAGAGCTATGTGGGGAAGTTGATTCCCTCACATGGCCCGCTGCTAAACGATCGGCAAAGAACTTGTCGATCGCAAGTACTTGTTCACGAGGCAGTGGCCACTGCTTCATGACACAGTACTTCGAGCCTGGTTTAAGCTCGACTTCGTGTCGAATACCTTTATCCTTCGGTAATTCGCACGGAACAGTTTCAGGGAATACATCCTTGAATTCAACCAAATCTTCATAGAGAGGATTTTCCTTGAGCGATTCCCATGATTGGGACTCATATCGCTCAATTCGTGTCTTTTCATCTAGGACACTCTCGTCCATAGATGAACTACTGAGAACTCTCTCGTTCTCAGTAAACACTGTTGCTGACCTTATGTCGGTTACATACTCGTCTTCAGCGACGAGTATGCAGATCTGCTTGACTTTGCCACTACGCAGATCACGCAAGAATCTTTTATGTTCGAGCGTTGGCAACTGAGTGATCTCCGAAGTTAACTTCGGAGGCGCAATCAGATCAAGTGTATAAGCGCCTACACATGATCCGTTATTGACTATGACATTCAATGTCTCTGTCATTTCCTGGGAACTTATTCCCTCAGGCTTCGAAGGACTTATTCCTTCGTCTTCCCGGGGACTTATTCCCGCGGGTTTCGGGGAACTTATTTCCGCCGTATTTGTAATCTTGGGACTTATTCCCTTTACTTCCTCTAGCTGGGGTTGCGCAACCACAGCGAGATCCTCTACGAAAGACTCTCCAGTCGATCTAGGATTATCGTTTCGCTTAACCTGAGCGATCGATTGTTTCTCTTCTAGATGTTCCCCTCTAGGGATACATCTTTGTCCCAGTCCACCCGACTTATTCGAGTGGTGGACCTTCGGCGCAGCCTGTGTTTCCTCACAGCCGCCGGAACTTTGCTCCGAAGTGTAACCGTTTGGTACACTAAGGTTTTGTGCAGTCGTACTAACGACCGTACCACAAGTGAGGCCATCGCACTCACTCGTAGTACATCCACACGCTTGTGGACGCTCCAAAACGTTCATCAGATGGCCATCTGATGAACAAGCGGCAGGCATCGTTACTGTCCGATGTTGCCAGTTTACCCGTGGTTCGTACCTTCTGAGCCACGGTATTCCAAGGATGACATCAAATTTGTCATCCAAATCCAATACGATAAAGTCATCGTCGTATTGGGTATCTTCTAGCGTATAGTGGATCTTCACTATACGCTTCATGACGGTTACGGATGCGCCTGTCGCAAGACGTACCGTCATCCTCGTAGGAGGTGTGTCACATTCACTGAATTTAAAGTGACCATCTTCTAGCGATTGGCGTCGCACAAAATTGTTGGACGCCCCACAATCGACTAGAGCTCGAAGGGACAACTTATTCGTCACTTCGAGTTTCAAGGTAATGAGTGAGATCTCATTACCTAGAGCAGCAACGCACAATGTCTGTGTGTTGGGAGCAACCTTCATCAAGAGGCCTACAAATTCTCTTGACGTTGCTGGATCAGTAGGGTGCTCCGCACCTACTGATCCTGTCCGTTTTTTGACGGTCCATCCCGTTGTTGCGTCTTTGCACCAACTGCGGACCCTCGTCCCTGCCCCTTTCTCATGGGTGGACGGTCACTACGCCCAGTGTCGCGAGACACTGGACGAGGGGCACTACACTCGTAAGCGTAGTGTCCTGTCTTTTGACATCTGTTGCATCTCTGCAACTTCTTGTAGCCTGTAGAGCGAGCCTTCTCGCTCTCTACATAACAGAGTTCCATCGGCTCTGGACCTCCGTTGTCATATCGTCTCGGTTGACGATATGATGTCGAGCTGGCGCGAGCCTGTCTCAGACTGAAGTCTTCCTGCTCCGCAATGGAAATGGCTTGTTCTAGTGAATCTAGTTCAAGCCGGAACAGGTGAGTCTTGACGGGACCATCCGCAAGACCCTGCATGAACACCGAAACCAACGTGTGTTCATCCACCGGATTGGAACTTATACAACTCGTGAGATGTCGTATATGTTGAGCGTAAGCGTGCACATCACGCTTACCCTGCTTGAGCTTCAAGAGTTCGGTTCGAGCTCTGAACTCAGCTCTAGGCGGTTCAAACGTTTGTCTGAGCCGCGACTTGAAGACTTCCAACGACCCAAACGCGTATGGGTCGTGCAGCTTGAGCCCCAGTGCCCAAGTCTTGGCACGTCCTGCCAGATTTGACTGGGCAAATGCAACTTGCATATCCCCGTCGTCGATGCGACGCGCCCTTATGGCGTCATCCAATTCGACGAACCATCTCAAGAGGGAGTCTTCTTCGACCCCCTATACTTTGAGATGTCAATCTTCAAAGTCTCGGGCCGACGCGAGTGCATCGACCCGCCAGCAGCAGCCTGCTGCTGTCTCAACAGTTCAAACTGTTGAGCACCTTGTTCTCTCAACAACTCTGCTTGTTGAGAACCTTGTTGGTGAAGCAAGGCTACTTTCTCGCGTTCTGCGTCAAGTTCATTTTGAATGAACTTGGCGATAGTAGCATGTTGGGCATCTCTATTGAGAGCCTCTAGCATGACGCTAACAGCATGGATGCCCATGGTCGAACCCATTCGTTCAACCGCATCCCATTCGACATCGCTCAAATGGGAGTAGCCGTCACGCGTAGCGTGAAAGCTTTGGTCATCTTCATCATCCAACATATTCATGTTGGATGTGAACGCGGTCCTTGGACGGACTACGAAGTGCTACCAGGTGTAACGGGGCACCCTGAAGCTTGTACTGGTGACAGTACAAGCTACTTATTCTGATAACAGAATAAGGCGGTGCCTCGTAACTTCACGTACACTCGTACGTGCAGAGGAAGACGGTAAGAAGAAGCGAGTACTTGGTTAGAGTAAAAGTAGAACTGTATTTATAATAGTTAATGTCTGCAATAAATCACTATTTATCTTCATCTAACTATGTCTAAATACAAATGTGTAAATCAGTTATCTGCTCACCACTCATTGCGTGCGTCTGTCGTGGCGCGTCTTCGTTGGTTGATATAATGGCCTATATCAACCAATTAGGAACTACTTGGAAGTGCTACAGAATATTGTCCTTATGACAATATTCTGAGAATATAACTCTTATAGTTATATTCTATTAACAATTTCTTATAAATTGTTATGTAACGATTCACCCCGTTACATATCCCAAAGCAGACGCTTGCATTCCACTTCATTTCCAGCAAACATGCATTGAGAGTATCGATAGACGTCAACACGTCATCGATATCGG